GAACGGAGAATAAAGTCAAAAAAAGATGGAAAACTGGATCTTGAGGTCATAACAGCAAGAGGGATCATCATTTCAACTGAGAGCTAAATCTATATATATATATATATATATATATATATATATATATATATATATATATATATATAGTGTAACCCGGATATAAGACAGTTGTCGGGACCGGAGAAGAAGTCTCTTATATCCAGGTTTCTCTTATATCCAGTTTTGGTCTATTTTGTTTAGGTAAGTATGGGAACACTTTGGGACCAGAGACAATCTCTCTTATATCCGGGTTACACTGTATATATATAAATATAAAAGTGAACATAGAAGTCAACACTTATATATATATATATATATATATATATATATAATAAATTTTTTTATTTAAAATATGTTTTTTTTCGCTACACAGTTCTAACAATGTTTCAAAAAAAAAAGTAAATGCTCCGAATTTAATTTTGTAATTAAATTAAAGACATTAGTTCCATTTCATACCCAAGCAAATTTTGGAGTAACTTTTTAAAATTACTGGGTTTTAAAGACACAGCTAAAATCATAATTCACGTTTCCAAAGTTACAGATAAATCCACTTACCGGATTATATATCTTACTGTTCTTTCTTTTATATATATATATATATATATATATATATATATATATATATATATATATATATATATAATTCAAAATTAAATATATAGTTCGAACATGAAACAGACTGTCGGGGCTCAATGTTTACATCATTGTCCGCTGTTATTTTTTATATTTACGATACCCACTAACCCTAATTTTGAACCCTTTTCCCAACAAAAGTAGCACAGTTCAACACTATAATTCTGTGTATACTGTAACTATGTTGAGCAAACTTTAGTTACATTTTTTAAGAGATAGTATATAATCGAACGCAATTCTTAGTTGTATAATGCCATGGTGTTAAGCCCTTGTTAACAAAAAATTGTGCCAACGACGGATTCTGAAATTTTACATCTAACCAATTTAACTCAAAAGGCTGGGTCCAATTTTTTATGGTTTCCCTTCACTTTCTTCAACACACTGAGAACCTTTCCCCAGCGCCGATATTATGAAGGAGTTAAATCTATGAATAATCGATCACATTGAGATCCCAAACATTCGACCTCTAACCATGTATATATATATATATATATATATATATATAGTATACATTGAGTACTGGTAATAAAACTGTGGTTAATGTAAAATTACTGTTAAAATTTATAGTAGTACTAAGTTAGATGTAAGTTGCAATCATCATGCACCTACTGAAAGTTGGTACATGCATGAGACACGAACACACACTCAGACACCTATATATACATATATATATATATATATATATATATATATATACATATATATCTTAAAAGCCGCCTAAACCAATATATATATATATATATATATATATATATATATGTGTGTGTGTGTGTGTGTGTGTGTGTGTATGTATATATACATATATAAATATATATATAAGTATAGATATATGTATTTATATGTGTGTGTTTTTGTGTATATATATATATATATATATATATATATATATACACAAACACACACATACATGTATATTGTCATACAGAAACAGATTGTTTCGCTGTCTCACAGCTTATCAGTGTGGCTAGACATCCGACTGCCTTAAACCGCCATCGAAACACGACTGATTTGGTAGACTCTATCCCAAACCCATAGGAAGGGATGAACGTGAATTTTGATGTATTCATTTTTAGATAACCATGCCAGTGTCTAGGTGAACAGGGAGAGAAAGGAACATTAGTATATTTCCAATGTATTTGAATAATAAAATCCTTTACAAAGGATTCTTACATTAATATTATATGCAATGCTTACTTATCGTAAAATCATTTACAATGCAATCATATTATGAAATTATTAACAATGCATTTTCTAGTGAAATCCATTACATTGCATTCTTATAATAAAACCACTTACTATTCATTGCTATAATGATATTATTTAAAATGCATTCTTATTATAAAATCATTTAAAATACATTCTTACAATAGTTATAATAATTTACAAACCATTCCAATAATAAAATCCATTACAAGTCAAGCTGTTATTATAATAAAACTATTCACAATGTATTCTTATAATAAAATCATTTCCAGTGCATTCTTATAATAAAATAATTTACAATACATTATTATCATAAAATCATTTACAATGAATTCTTATAATAAAATCATTTACAATGCATTCTTATAATAAAATCATTTACAATACATTTTTATAATAAAAAACATTTACTTTACAGTGCATTCTTATAATAAAAAATAGTTACAGTGCATTCTTATAATAAAAGCATTTACAGTCTACTCTTATAATAAAAGCATTTACAGTGCATTTTCAAAATATTTTCTATCGCATTCCACTCTAATTGGAAGATTCATTTCAATGCTTTTCTGTATTATATTGGACCATTGCCAGAATTCAAGTGATTACTTTCCCGCTGTTTAATTCGTTGGCTTTCTCGATATTAACCGATGAGCTAGCTTAGACGCACAGTTTAATATGTATTTCCAGACGTCATAACTAAATTCTTTTGTCCGTGATCGAGATTGTTGGAATAATAAGATTTTTTTTTCAAATAACTCAATAAAAATGTCTCACGTTGTCACGTCAATTTCAACGTCCTGCATTTGCGTCATCTCTTAAAGGTCACAACTTCTGGCAATGCGGTTTAGAACAGGTATTAAAAAGGAACAGACTCATAAGGCGCTTTTAAATACTTGCAAAAGCAACAAAAATAAAAGGCACGTTTATTTAAAAAAAATTATTGTTTTTGCTTTAAATTTAAATGAAATGCCAATCGTTATGTTCTTTCTACTTAATTCCTATTCTTTTATTTTTCGCTCTACCTAATCATTTCTGTTACACTCAGAAAACAACTTGCGTCTTAGTGGCTTTAGTGCCATGCTTTAGAAGAAATGATTAAAAAAGTAAACTTCACAGAATCAGTCGGAACATAAACGCGTCTCGACAAAATAATCTATCAGTTATCCTCATATATAAGTCGGTCAAGGAATTGATATCATGAAAGAATTTTCTTTCTTTTTTTTTTACTGCCTATACTGTCTTGCCTGGGACGAAGTTATTTTTTAAAAATACGTCGAACTCGTCCGATTTGTGTTTTGCTGAAATTGTCTGAAGCGAAACTTACTGATGTGATTTCTACTTTTTTGTTTTAAAATTGTATTTTCAGGTTTACAAATCTAGGGAATTTGGTCTTTCTTTTTAGTATGTTAGACGAGATCTTTGGATGCACTTATTTATCGTAACTTCACCGAGTTTTCCTTAACGGGATAAGTTAAAACTCTAACGTTAGAATAAAAATGCAACTAATCCGTGAAGAACATGGAAATCTCATTGATAGATACGTAAAAAAATTAATAAGATTTTATTGTAGGGCTACAGAAGGCGATTATCTCTCATTGGCAGAGATAAGTCACGTAGGTTGCATGACGGTCAGTTAGTCACGTCACTGCATACAGTGACGAAAGAGGCAGTCAATTTCAATTCATTTACAGTAGACAAACTAAGACGTTGATTCCTGTATCACAGGTCACTCATAGCCCCGGCGGAGGCTAAATCTGCCTCCGCAGCAGCTTACATGTCCATGTTCACAGATATAGAAAGAAACTCCAGCTCGCAGTCCTCAATTTGGGAAGACTCAAAACTCGCTGTTTCCCTTTCATGCAATATGTTCTCGTCTGGGTCATATTAGTTGAATCCGACCCGTTTGAATCTTGAGTCTTATACATGACTTCTCGAGACACAGAAGAATCTCCATATTATATGTAAGACTTCTCCTTTTAGTTTCTCTTTATATTCTGCTCGCAGTGTAGATGTATTTGTCGCTGCGTGGCACGTGTGTATATATAGTTTTGTATATATCTTAGTGGTATAAAAGTCTCTCTGAGAACAAAGCATATTTATCATTGCTTTTCCTTTCAGCTAATCCTTTCCGCCAGTGAATTATGGTGTTACTAATATAATAATGCCCATAACGGGGGAAATACAAATGAGAGAATAAATCATTTTTTTTCAAGCTCTCCTATAACACTATTAACCGTGATGCGATCTTATTCCCCTGGAATGTTATATTATCATCACCCATTAATGTAAAATACTTGCCTAAACATTTGGTTTACAATGACTTCATTATTTTCTTATCCGAAACGCAAATTAAGTCATTTCTGGGAATTAATGCATTTTTTTTTTTGTATTTATAATCCGGCATGATTTCTTATTGCTTAAAAAATTGTATCTGTGAGTAGACATTTCTGGTTTCTTTAAACAATGTAAAACTATGCCTACCGGCCTACGTATGGTTGTCATCAAGAAGAACAGCCGGAGGTGCGAATTATTAGATTTTAAATGCTCTGATTGCCTTGTTCTTTGTACAACGGAAAACATCATGAAGTTAATGGTAACTGATACCCAACCTAATGAGTCAGTCTATGTGCCGTTTTTTCTGTTTAATCATTATGCGTAGTTTTATAATGTCCGTACGCCATTTACGATCTTTAGAGTAGTTGACAAATTCGTGTCACGTGACTGTATTAAATTCTGCATGAAATTCAGCAACTATATTACCTAGATCCAGCAAATGCTATTTGTTAGGCTTTTGACAAACAGAGGTTTTTGTTAGGCTTTTGGCGAACAGAGGTGTTTGTTAGGCTTTTGACGAACAGATGTTTTTGTTAGGCTTTTGGCGAACAGATCTTTTTGTTAGGCTTTTGGCTAACAGATGTTTTTTTAGGCTTTTGGCGAACATAGGTGTTTGTTAGGCTTTTGACGAACAGAGGTTTTATAGGCTTTTCGCGAACAGAGGTTTTTGTTAGGCTTTTGAGTGTAAACTACATGGCCGATTGAGTATTGTTCAACACGATGAACGTTTAAAGCTACCAACCGAAAGATGAATAACCAGAAAACTAATACACAAAATCGTGAGCTCATTCATGTGGGCCGCCGCTGAACAATCCACCACCGAGTTGACTGGAATCAGTTATGAAGTCGGCCAGGAGATCTTCACGGAACACCAGAATGTGCATCGCGTTACCGCCTATTCAGGTAAAACAGTTGCCCATGAACACGGGATCCTGGGTATATGCTCAATTCTTGTCGGAGTTTTTATACAATTCTTGTCGGAGTTTTTATACGTTGGTTTAAGGTTATTCCTGTGAAACAGGAACCCATGTCTACGGGATTCAAGATTCATGTTCAAATTTTGTCAACGTTTCATTCCTTGGACTGGAGCTACTCATGTGAAACCATGGGTCCTGGATCCTGGATTTATGCTCAAATCTTGTTAATGTTTTATACGTTGGATTTGGGCTATTCATGTGAAAAAGGACTCCATAGGTACGTGATCCAGGATCTATGTTCAAATTTTGTCAATATTCCATTCTTTGGACTGAGGCAACTCCTGTGAAACAAGATCCCATGGGTCCAGGATCGTAGATTCATGTTCAGATTTTGTGAGTGTTTTATTCTTTGGATTAGCGTTACTTATGGGAAACAGGATCCCATTGGTATATGATCCTGGATTCAGGTTCAAATATTGTTAGATCGAGTGCTAAAAATAACATAGCACTAAAAAAAAATAGCACTTGTTAGATTGGTGCTATGTATGTGAAACGCCACCCTATATGTACAGGATTTTTGAATACGTTTCCAAGATAAATATTTCGAAGAGGATGAGACCAAACGTAAATAGTATAAGAAATGTATTATTTACTAGAATAAGGTGTGATGGTACACTACGTTTTTTTAGGCCTAGTCTAGGAAATTTTTGAGACCACTTCGTATGCGCCCTCTTCCAACAACCATTTAAACAGAAATTGAATCCGACGATTTCTGTCTGCTGTCTCGATTTTTTCTCCGACATTACCTACAGAGTAACACAGACAAAATGATGGGTAAGTGGGAAAGGCTTTTGATGTGAGGCTTGTTTAATTGATTCGGCAATTGTATTTAATTATATATTTTGATGGCTCACACATCTTCACGGCGCCGACTTAGTGCTAATTTTATCCCGTGCTGGGCTCTTTCGCTCTTCGATGCAAAACCCATAACGTCTTTTCTCTTTCAGTTGCTTGAATTGATATTTTTTCACCTCTTTTAAAATCATTCATTTGTTTCTTGACGTATTTCTCTCTCTATCATTCTCTCTTTCTCTCTCTCTCACTTTCTCTCTCTCTCTCTCTCTCTCTCTCTCACTTTTTCTTACCATTATCACACCCAATTTCTCATTTGTGTCCGTTTTTTCTTTAATGTTTTCCTATCGACTCATTTTATGTTTGTTATTATTCCGTCAAATCTAGTAATATTTTATACAACGAGACATTCCAATACTTGGCAATTTGTCTGCTTCAGTATCTATTAATGGTAGCGTTATTTATTTATCTATCTATCTATCTATCTATATATATCTATATATATATATATATATATATATATATATATATATATATATATATATATATATGTATATAGTAATCTATCGAAGAATATTTCTGATCTAAGGCAGTCTTTATTTATCTAACTCTGTTTTCTTATCTAGCGAGGTAGCAATCTAAACGGCTTTTCTTATGTATGTATGTATGCATCTATCTATCTCAGTTCATTTATATCTATCAATCTATCTATCTATCTATCTATCTATCTATATTATATATATATATATATATATATATATATATATATATATATATATATATATATATATATATATGTAATCCTGTTCATATCCATATCTGGATCTATTAACGCATATTTGGGCAGCAACCTTTATATGAATCATGTTTTGATGAATATTACAGACAAAGAAAATATAATTAATTTTTTATTTAGTTTTTCCAACATTCTTACATTTCGTCCGATTGGTACGAGTAAGGAAGTGCAAAAATTCATTATCCATTGTTCCAAGAACCTTCTTTAGCCATTTTCAGGGTGGGTGGTGTTTTGGGGTGTTGTTCATTTCTCTTCGTGTTTGACAGCATGAGATGTGTTTTTGTGTTGTATTGAATATTAGTAGAAGCATTTTTTCTGTGCTTGGCGTATACATACATACACACACACACACACACACACACACATTATATATATATAGTATACGATACACATTCGATTCCTGTCGGAGGACGCATATTTTCTCTGAAAATTTTTCGGACATTCAGGTCGGTAAATGTCGTTAATACTGTTTATTATAAACTGCATTTTCGAAAATATTTGTATCTATAAAAAGAAAAAACCGTATAAACATAAAAATATCTTAAAAATAATAATTGTCGGACTTTGTCCATTTCATATATATATATATATATATATATATATATATATATATATATATATATATATAAAAAAGGAGAGGTACAGCAAAAATAATACATCATTTCTCTTGGACCAACCTTAATTTTTTATGACCCTTCGCGCAGAACACTTACCTGTCAATTCAAGAAAGACATTCGGATTAGTAACACAAAAACAGAGAATGTCTCATGTCGAGAATATTTAACATTGTAAAACATGAAGAAAAAAATTAATTATTTTTAATAATATGTGGAAATCTCCGCCTTTTACCTGAAGACGGTCACGAGACCAGAAACACGTGTAGTAAAATTATGGAAAATAAAACATAATATTTAAAAAAAAAAAAATCCACATTACAACCAAAAACTTTAATGGAACCACTATAACCTCTTTCTTTTTATATATATATATATATATATATATATATATATATATATATATATATATATATATATATATATATATAGTGCGTATATGTATGTATGTATGTATATGTGTGTATATGTGTACATGTGTGTATATGTGTGTGTATATGTGTGTGAGTGCGTTTGTGTACCGGTTGTAACAGCTAAATTGTACAAATCGTGTAACTGCATAAATTTCCTCTCAACAAATAGTTAAAATATCTAAAACAAAACCGCTAAACTAGTGAGTTTCTTTTTTCCGGGTTTCCAGATAAGATGTTTAGTCACCTTTAGCCACATTTGTCGTAAGAATCACTGAAAAAACCATTTGAGTTATTCAGCTAGAAAGAGAAAGAGTTAAAATCGTTCTATGTCAGCTCCACTATGTCTTCCCAACTGAGCAATGGTGAGAGAAAAAAGATCAGTCACGCCTTCAGTAATGGTACCAACAATCATATTCTACATATCATCTTCAAAGTCAATTCAAGAACCTTCAAGAGAACGGAGAATAAAGTCAAAAAAGGGAACGGCAGAGAAGAAAACTGGATCAAGATGTCACAACAGGAATAGGGACCATCATTTCAATTTAGAGCTAAAGAAATCAATTAGAAAAGATCCATCTCAATTCATAAGATGTTTGGCATGTAAGAGAGGAGTTTCAGCTATGACAGTCCAAATAGCAGTAAAAAAAAGACTTGAAAATGAAATCATACGGGATACCTGTGAGGCAACTTCATACTCCAGGATAAAAAGTTAGAATGGTGAAAATCATCTTGAATAAGTTGGAAAATGATACAGGAATAATATATATATATATATATATATATATATATATATATATATATATATATATATATATTAAAGACAAACAGACCACTTTAAGGTTCCATTATAATGATTTATTTCACAGAGAGCCCTTTCAAAGACGCCGGATCATCAAATAGCACTTCCAAAAAATGAAACGAAAAAAAGAAATGAAATGAAAATTGATGGGTCGTGTAAGTTTTTGTAATTTAACAGAGAGTGTAATAAGGGATAATATATATATATATATATATATATATATATATATATATATATATATATATATATATTAACTTTATGTCAATACTTTATGAGCTTCCAATCCTTAGCTATGATTAATTAATGAGGAATATGTCATTTTCGTTTATGATTGATTTCATCACGATTCTTCTAAGATTTGAGGGTAATTATACATTATTATTCCTCAAAGTCGAGCCAAATAGTGTTGTAAAAACATCGAAGAATTCTAGTGAAATATATTTAATCATATCGAAGATACAATATCATATCGAAGGTTCATAGCTTAATCTAACAATTGAACAATTTTGCTGTTACGCGCGGTCTATATATATATATATATATATATATATATACCGTGACTCGTAGGGTCATAGGGGCACGATATGTACTGCAGCCGAAGTGGAAATGGTGTTTCTTGGGCAAGATAGACTTGACGGAGTTCGACCCTCTCCAGGCTGGTTTTAAATTCAGAGTTTTTCCTTCTCATAGACCAGTTGCCACCCAAGGTTATATAACTCAGTCTGTCTCGCTATTTATCTATAGCTGGGTTGTGAAGATGAGGATTCATAACTTTCCTAACGGAATTAGCACGTATGTGAATGTAATGGATCCGACAGGAATTCGAACTCAGCTCTCCTATATCTCCGAGCCGCTATCTATTTCTCCACAGTGCCTCCTGTATTATATATATATATATATATATATATATATATATATATATATATATATATATATATATAATGATACTAAAGTTTTCGTTTATAATTTTTATTTTGTGAACACAGAGATGTTCAACTCTGCAGAACGAAATATCCTCCTAGTTTACGGAGGAAATTTTGATCTGAAGAGTTGAACAATTGGCGTTCACGAAATAAATTATAATCGAAATGGATAATTAAAGTGCCCGTCTTCTTATTATCATTATAATGTTCTGTAGTCTACATTCAGGTCTCTCTGGATTTATATCCTCCTCAAGAATTATCCCTTGGGGTCACAAACTTCTAAGACATATATATATATATATATATATATATATATATATATATATATAATTTTTTTTTTGGTACAGAATTTAATAATAGATAGGAAAAGACCAAATTCATGAGGCATTTGTTAAAAGAAAAAGATTATAAAACAACCGGATTCGTCCCAGGACTTATCAAGTTTATTTTTCTGGGAATAGAAAATTTAAAAAGCGTGTAAATTAAATTTGAATTAACGAATGGAATGGAATCGAAGAGAGAGAAAAAAATGAATTTTGAATCCGTCTGCCAGGAAGAGCCAACTAACAAATAGTTCTGGCTCTGTTATTGCTGAGCATATAATAAATAGTAGGAAATGTGTGGTTAATTTTAGTGTGGACCTTTTTTTGATTTTATTTAGGTCCCACTCCACATTTCCCCTCAAGGTTCTAGAGTCCTTGTATATCAGAGGAATGCTTAATGGGTCTGAATATTATTGGAATCTAGTTTCTTGAAATTCATTATTTTTTTAATATTTTTTTGTCTTTTTTTATCTATTATATATATATATATATATATATATATATATATATATATATATAAATAAAGAAAGATCAGTAAGATATATAATCCGGTGTTCTTACAGATATTTTTAGTTTTACAAAATAGTGCTCAATGTAAATTTACAGAGCATTAATATTATAAATTAATTGATTTAAAACATGGTTTTTTCGCTACACAGTTCTAACCATGTTTCAAAAATGGAAGCTAAAAGCTACGAATTTAATTTTGCAATTAAATTAAAGACATTAGTTCCATTTCATATATATATATATATATATATATATATATTAAAACACTTTTTATGTTTATACATTCTTTTTTAGATACAAATATTGAAGTAAATGCTCTGTTTATATTAAACAGTATTAAATAACATTTATTATAAACAGAGCGTTTACTTAAATATTTGTATCTATAAATAATGTATAAACATAAAAGTGTCTTAAAATAATTGTCGGACTTTGTCCATTTCATTATATATATATAATATATATATATATATATATATATATATATATATAATTTCTAAATATATATATAATTTCTAAATATATATATAATTTCTAAATAAATTCCCGATGTGACCGGGCACAAATTAAAATTTGATACGTTTTACGACAATCTTCATGTAGTATGTAAAAGTGATTTGTGCAAATAGTCATTTCATCGTCCTTTGGTAAGTTCAAGATGGTACCAAATACCAGAGCAGATACCATGCAAAGAACAACCAGACTGACTGAAATACCAATCCAGCCAGGATGAAAATTCTGAAAAGTCACTGTTTCTTCCTTTTCTCTTTCCGTCAGTTTTATTATTAAATTTCTAGCCTCGTCCAACTTTCATCTCACTAAGAAATATTGCATCTCACTCTCTGTTTCTTCTTTCTTTCTTTTTTTCTTTCTTTTTTTCTTTCTTTCTTTTTTCTATCTTTCTTTCTTTCTTTCTATCTTTCTTTCTGTCTATCTACCTTTTTCTCATTGTATTTCGCATTCTCTGTCTCTAAATTACTTTTTCTTCTTACTCTCCGTATTTCTTTCTGTCTCTTTCTTTCTCTTTTCTTTTCTACTGTCTTGGCTTTCTTTTTCTGTCTTCTTTCTCCCCCTTTCTTTGTATATGTCTCTCTCTCTCTCTCTCTCTCTCTCTCTCTCTCTCTGTATATCTGTTCTTTTGCTACCCTGCCTCACTCTCAGTATGTCTCTTTTCTTTCTCGCTCTTTATCTTTCTCTCTCACTTTCTCTCTTTCTCTATATCTTTTCTTCCTCTCACTCATTAGCGTCTTTCCCTCTCTTCCTTCTCATTCATTGTCCTGTCGTTCGATCAGTGGATTTGTTTTCTGCCTCACTAATCCCCAATCACCATCATTACATCATGGCGATCAGATGAAATCATAGAATCAATTGGAAAATCATCTGCACTTTGTAATGACACAAACGACAAACGAAGCAGAAAATATCCCGGGAAAAAAAAAAATCAAATATAAAAGCAGAAGCTTCAGATTAAAAAATTAAAAATAAGATAGAGAAAATTACATTTGTTCTCTCCTTTAGAAGAAGAGTTCATTTCCGTTGATTTGTTAAAAACATATGTAATTTTATCAAGCACAGAATTCATTAAAAATAGGGCTGCCTTTGAAATTATCCATAGATTTTACGGGCCTTTCATAATTCAGAAAATTTTAACTTCGATAAATCATATTTGCAAAAGTTTGTGTTAGAAGAGTTATTAGACTGTAAATTTATTTACAATTGTTCTAGACTATCCTGGTGTATTGAACTGTTCTTAGCAACCAATACCCCTTTTTGGACATATATATATATATATTCATGAATTATTCACACAAAAACAAATGCAAAGGTTAATGATGGTATGGAATAGATGTTGTTCTTGTTTTTTCTCTTAGTAATAAGAGGACAACGAAAATATATGTATTGTTGCATCCGAAAATGATATTGGAAATGAGTTATTGTTTTTGGAGCGTGCAATAGCAACGCTGAGTTTGATTTTAAATTTTTTACAACATCTATTCCATACCTGAAGATGTCTGTAGGAACAGACGAAAGCTTGTAGTAAAAATAAGAACTAATACGGCAGAAATTTATAGAAACAAGGATCTTTTCATTCATAACGGATTCGGAGGTTTTTGTATATTATTTGAATTGTTTGAGACGATGGATTTCTCGCCAATTAAATCATTAACCTTTGCATTTGTTTTTGTGTGAATAATTCATAAATTTGTAAATTGATTGCACGTTTATCGAAATTAAATATATATATATATATATATATATATATATATATGCAGACATAGAGAAAAAGGGAGATGAAGAAAATGAGATAAATAAATTGATAGATATATCAATAGCATTTAATGGATAAAAAGGAAAAATAGATAGAGAGAGAGATGAAGAAAATGAGATAGATAGATAGATAGATAGATTCAGATTGAGATAGATAGATAGATAGATAGATAGATAGATAGATAGATAATGAAACAGAATAAGATAGATAGATAGATAGATAGATAGATAGATAGATAGATAGATAGATAGATAGAATATTAAGATTTTAATGGATAAAAAAGAGAAAAGTTAGAGAGAGAGGTGAAGAAAATGAGAAGATAGATAGATAGATAGATAGATAGATAGATAGATAGATAGATAGATAGATAGATAGATATGAAGAGGATTTAATGGATAAAAAAAGAGAAATGGATAGATAGACAGAGCGAGAGATAAATAAAAGAGATAGATAGATAGATAGATAGATAGATAGATAGATAGATAGATATGAAAAGAATGTAATGGCTAAAAAAGAGAAATAGATAGAGAGATAGAGCGATAAAAATAATGAAGTTGATAGATTTATGATGGAAAAATAGAATTAGAAAGAGTGAGAGACATACAGAAAGGGGGAGTTTTAGAGAGAAAAATTGGTAATTATTTTATTATACTTTTCAGTAAATATAAAATACTACGTTTTGATTTATAATCCACATCATACGCTTACTCATCACCCTGTATGTTTCGTAAATACTTGCTTTATTTAATTTCAAAATATGAATAGATTTTTTTTTCATTCTGATATGATTTTTAATATATAAAAATGTTATGCCACTAAAGACTTTTACGCATGGCCATAAAAGGAAGGGTGTTAAAACTTTGATGGTAAACCATTCGACAGGAATTTAACTTTAAATTGCTACATTGATTAATAATTACATTTGTCGTCTCGTATTTTGATGGAGAAAGACAAAACATTAAAATTGCACCTCTTCTAAAACGTACTTTGTAAATAATTATAACCTTCATCGAGAGAAAGCGACAATGGCCTCAAGACGGAAAGCAAATTTACAGTAACTTTTGAGAACATTTGTACATGAAAGAAAAATAAACTCTGTGGCGAGGGCATGGGTTTGTAAGTCCGCTCCATATTCTGATGGATATTTTTCCGGTGAAGAATAATTCTTTCTTGTGTACACTTGTCGACTACTTTCCTCTGTTTCCAGCATTCTTACTTTATACCTGTTAACAATTCGATCGGGTAAGAATTATTCCAGCCCGACCAAATTAATCCGGCAACTCCCAGAATCCAATACTGTTTTTAATCAGCCGCCATTATTTCGTTAAGCGGCTGCCAGAACAGCACCGCACATTGTGTACAACATTTCGTAACAACCTACAGCAGCAGAATGTTTTGGCAATACGGTCTTGCTCTTTTGTTATATATATATCTACACCCTTGTGCAAATTAATTGAAATAACCGCTTTAGTTTCCTTTCTTTCTGTTCTGGTCCGGTTCCTTGTACCACGGTGATAGTCCAAGGTAGAACCAATAAAGAAGAACTCGAACACGGATATGGAATAACACAGATATATTACAAACAGGAAAATATACAGAGAAATAGAAAGTGTTAGTACGAACAATCAGGTTTAGTAGTAATTGTCTGAACTCGACTCTGTTTCGGACTGCCTCTGACTCGACTCTTGACTCGACTGACTGACTCGCTCGCTCTGACTAACTGACTCCTGACGGACTTCCCTCCAGACTTCAGACTGAACGGTATTTAGTCACCCTCCACAAGGGTATCTTGTGGCACAAGGCCAGTTTAACGTGGGATCTCCGAGCCCCTGGGCTTGGCCAAAAATATGCCCTTTGAACCCATATAAACGGGTTCAGGGTCGGTTTACCTCCCCGAAAGAGACTCCGCCCCTCGGCGTAGCCTCGTTCGGGTTCCTCCCCGCCCGAAGGCAGAGAGTTCAGCCGGTCAGCCGGTCGCCCGATTTCAGACTGAACTCTCTGCTTCCTCTTGAGGCCCTGTATTTATTACGTATAGAATAGTTCATTATGTTATTATGGGGAAGGTCCCAAAACACTTTCATTATACGGCCAGTCTTAGACCTACTGGAGTGACAGGGCGTAATCGATTTCTATTTTTCCTCGGGTTAGATCATTTGTAGTTGTGTTCAGTAATATGAATTTATTTTCGGAGTGTATGATGAAATTTGTTTGGCCTTGAAAAATATTGAGTCATTTGTGATTGAATCAGATTTTCATCACGCCCAGACACTATTGTCTCGACTGTCGATTAGTTGTCCTACGACCATTGTCTGCGATGGATATTACTCCAAAGTGGCTTCCCAATATCCTGGCGTTGTACGAACACACTGGCAAGCATTACCAATGAGCAAATCAAAGTACTATAGACTGGCTCGGAAACTCTCCTGATTTAAATCCAATCGAGAATCTGTGGTCAATCTGCAAGGAAAGACTTTGTGGAATGGACATACGAAGTACTAACATGTGCACTGGGTCATGTTTCATTGGACACATACGAAAAAAGTAAATAATAACGGAAGTTTTTGTTTTGTTTCAATTAGTTTGCAAAACGGTGTACATATTTACTAATTCAGGAAAGTAAGTACATATATTATTTTAGAGGTTTCAGTATTTATTTAGCATTGGTACGGAATGAAACAATAAAAACTTTCGAAACATTAATGTTTTTGTTTTTTGTTTTAATTTCCTGTTTTAAGCTTTTTTCTACCTTTGAAAACACAGCAATATATGTGGAATCAGTTGACGGATACTACGTATATATAGGATTTTTGAAAAGTGACTTTTGTCATCCGGCAGTAGGCTGGGTGGTCTCAAGTTTGCCTGATTAAGGAGGTCGGACTCTCCAAATAGAAAACGGAGTATTCTCAAGAGAGACAGAAAATACTGCAGAGATTTTGGTACGCTATAATTACTAAATAAACACGCTGGGTGTTTGTTTGTTTTTTGTTTTATTCACTTTTCCTTCTTTATCATATTAAGCCGATGGTAGAACATGACGTATACATACGTCACGATTTGTCTTTTCCCTTGAGGATATGAGGTAGACATGCGTCACGAATTGTCTCTTCTCCTCGGCATACGAACACGTTATCGAATTTTGAGAAGTGCCATCTAGTTTTCTGATCCTTACAGGTTAAAAATGTACACAGATAGATAGATAGATAGATAGATAGATAGATAGATAGATAGATGAATGAAGAAAATGAGATAGATAGATAGATAGATAGATAATGAAGAAACTGAGATAGATAGATAGATAGATAGATAGATAGATAGATAGATAGATAGATGAAGAAAATGAGATAGATAGATAGATAGATAATGAAGAAACTGAGATAGATAGATAGATAGATAGATGAAGAAAATGAGATAGATAGATAGATAGATAGATAGATAGAATATTAATAAGATTTAATAGATAGATAGATAGATAGATAGATAGATAGATAGATAGATAGATAGATAGATAGATAGATAATGAAGAAACTGAGATAGATAGATAGATAGATAGATAGATAGATAGATAGATAGATAGAGCGAGAGATGAAGAAAATGAGATAGATAGATAGTTAGATAGATAGATAGATAGATAGATAGATAGATAGATAGATAGATGAAGAAAATGAAATAGATAGATAGATAGATAGATAGATAGATAGATAGATAGATAGATAGATAGATAGCGATAAAGATAATTAGATTGATAAAATAAAGTGTAGGAACTAATTAGCATGTAATGGCAATATTAATTGTTTCATTATTAAGAAACATCCATTAACCGAACAGATAGTGCTGGACGAATTACTCTTTTCTTCACTCTCTTACCGTTGGCTGTCCTGGGTATGACGATAAACTGCGTCCAGCGGCGGGGCCTCTGATCGGGAGGTTTTGAGGAGTGTGGAGTCACCTCTTGGTTGCTGGTGTTCCCGGGTGCGCACTGGCCCGGGGTGATGGCACCTATTGGGGTCCCGGTTGGTGGTAAACCCCGTAACTGCGGTAAAAAGCATTATAAAAGCGTAAAGGTAGGTTTTAATACCAGAAATACT